AACACAAGGTGAGTAGAATGATCACCGAGCTTAGTTATTTATGATAAAGTGGTCACAGAAAAGCTATAAAATCATGCCTAGGTATGTATTATGAGGGTAGTGACATTGCACGAGACTCTAATCTTCGAAGTATAGACTTAGCTCACAATAATTCTATAAATTTTTTCAAGAAGTGCTTAAAAAGATAAAGTGTGGGAATTATAACTTATGATTGAGGTATATAAGAGAACTCTGTGAAAGAAGTTCACCAGCCAAGATAGGAGTTCAACTTCGGATTCCAAAGATGACGGAGTTGTTGTCTAGAACAGGACTCGTTCCTACTTAGTAGCCAAAGTGAAAGAGAAATAGATTGATGATACCTACATATTACAATTAAAGAGGGGATACACAAGCATAAGATGATAGCTTTTGAACAAGGGGAAGATGATGGTACTTTGAGGTACTAAGATGGATTGTGTGTTCCAGACGTAGATGGACTTAAAGAGGGAAGATCATGTTAGGAGCCCATAATTCTAGGTATTCTTTCCATCCAGGTTCCCCAAATATGAATCATGACCAAAGAGATCTATTGGTCGAACAACATGAAAAAGAACATCCCAAACTTTGTGGCCAATTGTCCGAATTGTCAGCAAGTGAAAGTCGAGCAACAGAAAGCCTAGTGTTTTATCACAGAATACACATATTTTGAGTGGAGATGGTAAATATAAAATTTATAACAGGATTATCTTGCTCATTTTAAAAGCATGATTTGATTGGATGATTGTAAATCGACTTACCAAGTCAGCACACTTCTTGCCAAAAACAAAACAAAACTACAGATTCAGCAAAAGATTATACCAAGGTGTACATTCACGAAATCGTTTGATTGCATAGGAATCCGTTGTCCGTCATTACGGACTATGGTGCTCAGTTTAAAATGAACTTTTAGAAGTTATTTGAGAAATGATTAGGCACAAGTTTTTTGTCCTCAGAAATATGGCCAGGCAGAGCACATTGTTCAAATAGTTGAGGATATGTCCTTGATGTTAAGAGTAATTGGGATGATCACATACCTCTCATTGACCTTGCTAATAATAACCTACTACTCTAGTATCAAGATGGAACCATATGAAGCTCTGTATGGGCGAAGGTGTAGATCACCAATTGGTTGGTTCGAAGTTGTAAAAGTGGAGTTATTAGGACCCGATTTGGTCTACCAAACTATAGAGAAATTTAAGTTGATTCAAGAACGTTTGAAGAAAACTTAGAGCCGCTAAAAGTCCTATTCGAGCGTGCGGCATAGGGACCTAGAGTTTCAAGTTGATGATTGGGTGTTTCCGAAAGTGTTGCTTATGAAAAGCGTTATAAGATTTGGGAAGAAGGGGAAGCATAGTCCCTGCTATATTGGGCCATATAAATTCTTGCGAATAATTGGTCAATTAGCTTATGAGTTGGAGTTTCCACCATAATTAGTGATGGTACAACCAGTATTTCACGTGTCATGTCATAACATTCAAGTTTCCAGTACTCAGATACTCATGTCAGTTCGGTAGTCAGATACTCATGTCAGCTCAATACTCAGCTACTCATGTTAGTGCAATACTTAGACATTAATGCTAGCTTAGTACTCAGATTACTCAAATATTCGTGACAGTTCAATATTCATATATCCATGTTAGTTCAGTATTCGCGTATCCATGGCAGACCAATATTCAATCAATGTAGTAGTCATTCAGTTCAGTATCATAGCAGTTCAGTAATCATGTATTCATTCAGTTTAGTATACAAGTGTTAATGAAAGTTCATGTTTCCACCACACCCATTTAACGTCCGGAGTTAGCAGAAGTTACAGTCAGGACAATCATTTGAGGACGAATGATCCCAAGGGGGAGATAATGTAATACCCTGTACATTATGACTAGTTGTGGATGTTTTAAATGGGTATAATTAGATATTTTATACATATGAAGTCCTATCGGGATGAGTATGGGTGAAAATAGTTGTTTCAAAATCAAGATGGAAAGTGAGGTGAATAAGATTCGACAAAATCGACTAAGTTTGCAGAAGATCTGTTTTCCAGCAGGGTTTAGTGAAAATGTATACGGAATTTGGGAAAACTCAAAGCATAAAAGTTGTTGGCATTTGAAATAGCTTTCCAACGATATATTTTGGAGCCCAAATGGAGCTTTGTGTAAAATGTTATGCCCATTTTACAGAGCAGTGTGTAACCACCATATTTGACCGAGACCGCGGTCGTTAGGCAGTGCTCCAGCTATTTACCGTGGTCGGGACCGCGTTCAGGCCTACTGGGATGCAGTGGATGACTTGGGAAGTCGTTTTTATAGCCCTATTTCATCTCCCCACAGCCGCAAAATATAAAAACTTGCTCTAGAAAGGAAAGCTCTCAAAAACCTAACTACTTAAGGGTCCCTCCACCACCCAAGGTAAGTTCTAATGGTGATTCTAAGTTAATTTCAATTTTCCAACATCTTATTAATATGGGTAAACCCTCCATATCATTAGATATTCGATTGGGATATTACTGTTGAAAGAAGGAACCCTAGAACTCAAATTCAAGGAGATTGAACTTCAAAAAGGTAACGTCTTCACCCTCTAATTGATTCTAACATTGGATTAATGATTATAGACTCTAGTTCATAAGATATGAATTGATGGGTTTGATAGAAAAGTATGAACGATAATAGGTTTGGGGTGTTGATTATTGATTATTGGTTAAAGGTGTTGTTTACCTTATGGGTGATAAACAATAATGTTGATTATAACCATTTGAGACTTTAGAATTTATCTAGGAGCAAGAGAATGGGTTATTGGGTGTAGAGATACCATTATAAGAACTATGAAGCTTTATTCTCACCAAGTGTTTGAGAAAATGTCTAAATGACCAAAACATGAGTATTATTGCTAATATGGAATCCCTCTGACTTGTATTGATATAGATTGAAGGTGAAATGGTTGGTGAATGTTGTATTACGCTCAAGAGCAAGAAGTTAAGGTATGTGAGGCTAACTCTCTATGTTTGAAAATGTTAATGATTCTCCCTACACTACGTTTCTTTTACGACGTTACTAATTGCCTCAGAAATATAGTTTAGCCTAGTTCCTTAAATAGTTGTAGAACTTCTATTCTTTAGCTTCATAACTCGTTCATGACTTTCATTCTGAACATTGTGAGCTCAGTGTGTAATCAATATAGACTTGGGTTTGATGCCCCTGAGTCTTAGTGTAGATTACTCAATATGCCATAAACAGTTGAAGTTTCAGTGTTCATAATCAGTTCAAGAATACATGTCTCAGCCTAGTCCTATTCAGTATTCTAGTATTATGTAACTCAGTGTGATCCAATATTCCAGTATCATGTAACTCAGTGTAATTCAGTATTTCACTATCATGTATTGCAGTATGATTCTCAGTTCATGATTTTAAATCCCTGAATGTTGAACACCTGTATTTGGGTCTGAGGCTGCAGTTTATGCTTTATGCATCTTTGGGCCCGAGGTCGCAGTTTATGCTTTATGCATCTTTGGGCCTGAGGCCGTAGTTATGTATACGTATACTTGGGCCCGAGGCCACAGTTGTGCACATATATTTATTGGGCCTGAGGCTGTAGTTTAATATTCAGATAAATAGGTTGTTCATCATTCAGAAGATGGAGTATTCATATTCTTACTTCCTTGTTTAGTTGAATTATTAGTTATCCGTTATCATTTTAGTTTCAATTTCAGTTTCAATAATTATCATTTCAGTTATCAATTATCAATTCTCAGCTATCAACTTAGTTTTTGTTTTAACATTTATAATTCTTTCTTTCAGTTGCTTTACATACCAGTGCAATTCAAATGTACTTTCCCTTTTGCCTGGGGCATGCATCTCACAATGCAGGTAATGATTTACAGGTAGATGATTTAGAGCGCTAGGACTCTCATATCAGTTGTTTGGTGATCCCCAGTTCTTTCGGGGAATTATAATTATCTTATAGTCTTCCGTATTTTGAGACAGTCAATGTTTTCAGTACTTCATTAGAGGCTTTATAGACTAGAGTAACAGTTTGACAGAGTGTCAGGATTTTCATGTTAAGCTATGTTGGCTACAAATATGTTTCAGAATTTTATTAGTATTTCCGCACTTTGATTTATATCATTCAGACTTTCAGTGTATCAACATGTGTTAGTTTTTCTTCCGCATTTAGTATGTTATGATATCACATGTTGATTCAACCAGCCAGTTGGTGCGCTCGGTCATATATAGTCAGGCACCGAGTATCGTGTTACGTCCAGGCCCAGGTTTGGGGCGTGACACAAATGACAAAGATTGGTCAGTGGTAGCCTAAGTAGTCCCGGTACTCCAAATAAAATATACTTCCTTTTTATGTCCCAATTTATGTGTCATATTATTTTATTTTTAGTCTATTTAAAAAGAATGCCATACTTTGTTATTAAGAAAACAATTTCAGTTTAAACTTCCTACTTTATCCTTAATGAAATGACTTATAATCACATATTTTAGAGGTCTTTTTTTCTTAAACTTTATGTCGAGTCAAATAGTGACACATAAATTCTGGTGTACATATTTAAGAAAGGAAGGAAGGATGGAAGAAAGGGGCAGAAACTAGAAACTCTCGCAAGTTCCGCATCAGCCAGCAGAAAACCACACGAGCTAAGACACACTCTAGACTTTAATAACTTCACTTATTCATCTATACAGCTTACTTACCCGTGTCAAAATCCAGCATGTTCCCCTGATGTTCATTTGTGTTATCAAACTATTTAGCTACAATGCTTCACTTATTCATCTACATATAGAAGCGTTCATAATCGTAGTATCCTACTTTTACTATATATTTAGAACCCAAGTTTTCACATTCCGATCCCCAAAAATAGCAAAAATATCAAACTAAACAACTCGCAGAGTATAATATAACACTACTATATATATTAGTATTAGTAACTCTCAAGAATGGATATTTCTCATATCTATTATTGTGACTCACTTCATACAACATCATCATCAATGGCCGAATCATCACCATTGTCTAACAATAGCAGCTCTTGCATTAATAGAGCTGATCTTTCTGAAGAGGAAGTGATGTTAGCTTCGAATAACTCCAAGAAGCGAGCAGGGAGAAAGAAGTTTCAAGAAATCCGACACCCAGTATACAGGGGAGTGAGGAAGAGGAATTCAAACAAATGGGTTTTTGAAGTCAGAGAAACAAATAAAAAATCAAGAATATGGCTTGGAACTTACCCCAGTGCAGATATGGCGGCTAGAGCTCATGACGTGGCGACTATTGCATTAAGGGGTCGTTTTGCTTGCTTGAACTTTGTTGACTCTGTTTGGAAGTTGCCTATTCCTACTTCATCTGACGCTAATGATATTCAGAGAGTGGCGGCGAAGGCTGCCGAGGCTTTCCGCCCATCTGATCAGTCTGAAAGAGTTTCAGGAGAATATCCTGAAATGCTAGAAAGTAATAAGTCTTTTATGGATGAGGAAGCGCTCTTCTGCATGCCGGGATTGCTAACGAATATGGCGGAAGGACTAATGTTACCTCCACCTCACTACGTAAAAGTTGGAGATAATGTGGAAACTGCTGCTGACATGACTCTATGGAGTTATTCTATTTAAATAGTTCTGATTGTTGCTTCTTTCGGACAATCTATGTTCTTCCTAAGTGTTGGGAGTGTATGAACAAATTCTCACATAAAAAGTAAAAAAGAAAAATAAAATATTTATAAGGAGTTGGATACCCTTAATGGTGTGAGACCTTTTCTTTAGGCCTTTTGGAGAAAATCATGCAGGCTTGCCCCAAAGCAGACAATATCATACCATGTTAAAAGTATTTTTGAACCGTTTTAGCCTAACAACTGGTATCAGAACCAATGATTTCACGAGATGAATATAGAGATGGCGTAAGGTCCGGTTTAGTGCATTTGTCCGTCTATGGGCTGGTTCACTACCTTTACCCATAGCTTCAAAGATGTATATATACACAACCTCTCATTGGGTTTCGGTGACCGTAAATACTCGGATCATGTGGGTGACACACAGTTAATCTTCAAATTAACTCATAAACGGCGAAGGGTCATGTGGAACCTAGTTCAAGGGTAGATTGTTGGGAGTGTATTAAATGGAATTTGATCCTTGCTCCTCTAGGTAAATAACTCATCATTCAACAAAGTGCACCATTTAGCCTCTTTGGAGCATGGTGCCAGTAGATAATATTAGATCAACTCTAAAAAATATGTACATAAAATACCTAATTTTGACGAAGAAACCAGGGTTCACGACCCGATATATTTGCCTATAAATTCGCCCGTGCATGGATCTGGTAAAGCTACTTTCATTTCATTCTTCTTCAGCAAAATACATAAGTTACCAGCTAACCTTTGGCCCAAATCCCCTTTACACACTTTCTGTGGACGATAATAACATTACATACGCAACCTTTCTAAAGTGTATCTAGTACACACCTTCTTTGACCAAAACAAGTAAAAAGTATATCTGTGTAATGCACGCGTTTGACTTTAGCCCATTTGAAATTATTAAACCCGACCCATTTATTTTTAACTTAACCCTTATTTACTGCCCTACCCGACCCATCTATCTCTTATCTTCCCCCTCCCCCACCCCCACCCCCTAAAACCCCTCATCATCTCTATAGTTGTTTCTTTTCTTCTTCAACTAGAACCCCTAAATGTCAGGCTACTATTAGGGATGAGTCTCCTAATGTCAGTGGTGCTTGGCCTAGAAGAAGCTACTAGTTGGAATTCTTTGGTTATTGATTTTGTTAATTTTGTTTTTGAATTGGTAGAAATGTGCAATTGTTTCTCCTCTGAACCTCAGCAGCCATGGAAGATAAAACCCCTCATCAAAAATATTCTGGCTAAATATCCAAACTTTTCACCGTCCGGAGTAAGCAAAACTCCATTTCCGACAAGCAAAAGACGTAAAAGAAGAGGATTTTACTGTAAAATCCATGGCATTGGAGAAAAGCACAGGAGGAGATATAAAAGACCACGGCGAATAGAAATCACAATTTTGCCCAAGTCGTCCAGTTGGTCCGTTTGCCAGAAGAGGGGTTGGGGATGAAGGTATTAGTGTATATGTTTTTTGTCTTTTCTTTTTGTATTTTGTGTGAAATAATAAAAGGTAGAAAAAGATAAAAAAGAAAAAAAATTATTTAGACCATTGGATCAATTCATTTAAATCTACAGCATTCAAACTATCCTGCAGATTCTCATTTTCACATCTTCACGCACTACTTTTGCGTGAAACTTACTTGATTAAAAGAGATGTGTATTAGATACATTTTAGAAAGATTGCATATGTAATGTTATTATTGTTCACAAAAAATGTGTAAGGGAGATTTGGGCTAAAGGTTAGGTGATAACTTATTTATTTTGCCTTCTTCTTCGGGGTCGAAGTTGATACGAGCTTTTTTTTTTTTTTGCTCGAGGAAGAATCCAAATTTGTAGGTTAGTACAATAATATATAATATTAATATCCAAGATTCCTGTTTCCTAGTCCAGCAGAAGAAAATGAGGGGGAACAACAAGATTCCTATTTCCTAAAACTGTTAGACGTGGTCCACTCGTTTCTTTCATTTCTTGCAAAGGTGGAGCTGCAAATGGTATTAACTGTCAAATGATATTAGAGCGAGTGAATGAGTGGGTGTAGTTCAGTAAGACAATATGGATGGCTTCAAATATTTGAAAGGTCAATTTTCTAACTTTAACCTTCAAACATGAATGCATTCGGCCTCTCCTAGGATACAACGGATATTTGTCATTTAGTCCTACAATACAACTCCAAAAGTAACTAATGCTTCACCTTCCACTAACTTCTTCTCAAGAATTTGAATGTGTAGCTTTCAGCTCATCATTTCTGTTCTTGATCTTGACTTCGAATATTACTTCCTCCTCCTATTTGTTATCACAATGTCAAAATAGCAACATATCATATTGAAGTTATAACCAGAGGCGAATCCAGGATTTAAATTTTTTGGGTTCAATTTTTAAGATTTTTAATATTGAGCCCATTATATATTTAAAGTTATGGGTTCAAATATATTATTTTTACAATTTTAATGAATTTTTACAGATAAATTTCTACTCCACGTTGAAAGTTATGGGTTCAAATATATTATTTTTACAATTTTAATGAATTTTTACAGATAAATTTCTACTCCACGTTGAAAGTTATGGGTTCAATTGAACCCGTAACTCTCACACTGCATCCGCCTCTAGTTACAACTAGTTTATACACAATATATAATTGAACATCTTACTTTGATTTGACACGTGTTTGACAAGTGGAGTTCAACATGCATGGTGCCCGTTGCTAGAAAATAAACTCCACGCATGTAGGTTAATTAAGATGTATGTTCTTTTTCATCTATTATTTGATATTCAGTAAACCTTCATTTGGTATACTTTATCGTGGAATGGAGATACAATTAGAAGAAGAAAAAAAGAAGATGATTGGGCTAAGAAATGTTAGTTTTTACAAAGATACTTGTAGTTGGAGATTGTGTTTCCAGCAATTTTTTCAAGACACTTGAACCTAGCTACTCAAAACAAATATTTTAAATATATGTGATCGTTGACTAAACTTATATATGTGACATTTGCTTTGCTTAGTTTCATAAAGTGCAAGTGGTTACACACTTTTAAAAATAATATTTACAGAATCATTGTCATTTACTAAGTAATTATCTATAAATCTCATGATAAACATTAATTAGTAATTTGGTAAATATAGTAACTAGTAACATTCTAAAATAAAGTAAAATTCACTAATAACACCAAAAAGAATTTATATTATCGGTGCATATGATTTATATCAAATTATTTTAAACAAACAATTAGTTATGTTTTATCATTTTCAAATCAAAGATTTGTCGGTAGCAGCGTAAGTAATCATGATACTCTAGATAAGATATATTCCAAAAAAGGAAGGAAGGAAGAGAAGCAGAAAGTAGAAAGATTCACAAGTTGCCACATCAGCAAAAACCCACACGAGTCGGACACACACTTAAGACTTGGAATTTACTTTTCAGAAACCAATCCACTTGTCCCATAAAATAGCAGTGCTTAGGATATTTCTAAAAGTATCCAGCCTGTCTCCTTAGAACCCCTCCAATTAACTACCGTGTTCTTTCGTCCGCGTCATCAAACCTTTTAGCTTTATTGCTTCACTTATCATAGCTTACTTCCCCTATATATAGACGCCTACCCTTCATATTGACCAAAAAGAGCTAAACCTCTAACTGAAACAACATCCAACACTACTACTTACACTCTCAATATATATATCGGTGATCAAGAATGAATATCTTTCGAAGCTATTATTCGGACTCACTTACTGAATCTTCATCACTTTCTGATAACAGCAGCTCCCCATGTAATAGAGCTAATCTTTCTGATGGGGAAGTTTTGTTAGCTTTGAATAACCCCAAGAAGCGAGCAGGGAGGAAGAAGTTTCGCGAAACTCGACACCCAGTATACAGGGGAGTGAGGAAGAGGAACTCGGACAAATGGGTTTGTGAAGTCAGACAACCAAATAAAAAATCAAGAATATGGCTTGGAACTTATCCCACTGCAGAAATGGCGGCTAGAGCTCATGACGTGGCGGCAATTGCATTAAGGGGTCGTTCTGCTTGCTTGAACTTCGCAGACTCTGTTTGGAAGTTGCCTGTCCCTGCTTCCGCCGACGCCAAGGATATTCAGAGAGCGGCGGCGGAGGCCGCCGAGGCTTTCCGGCCATCTGAGTCAGAAGCAGTTTCAGGTGACTCATGTGGTGGCAGTGGCACTACTCCTGAAAAGCCAGAAAGTAATCATTGTTTTATGGATGAGGAAGCTCTGTTTTGCATGCCGGGATTGCTAGCGAGTATGGCGGAAGGACTAATGCTACCCCCACCTCACTACGTAGAAGTTGGAGATTATGTGGAAGCTGCTGCTGACATGCATTTATGGAGTTATATTATTTAAATACTTCTGGTTATTGCCTCTTTCGAATAATATATATCATCATTCATAAGTACATATAGTCAATACGCAATCAAGATGCTTGAGGTGAAGTTCCTTCAATTAGGATTTAGGAGCTACTGGTAGTTTCGTACTCAAATATTTGGATGGTACGAATATACAATAGCGTTGTAATTTTGTAACGATGTCGATAGTAATTACGTAGTACTCAGTGTTTTCTCTAAATGCAGAACATTGACCTTAGTTAGCGTCACCAATTTTGTGATAGCTTTGTTGTTTTCATGCCATTGTATTTGAATGAAATAAGTGGCCCACTAATTAATCTAGGATCTATTTCATATGTTTTGGAGTATTCATCAATATTTTTCACCTTCCAAGATTATTATATAAACTTTGACTACTATTTGAAAACTGTACTTGTTATTTTGCCACTTTTGATATTTATAAAAGTAACTTCTAAGTACTTTTTGTAGTTAAAGTTCTAATTTATGAACCTGTTTGACCGGGCACAGAGATTAAGAAAAAATGAAGACTTTTGAAATTTGTGATCTTAAACAAGTTAAAAAGGAGCCCAGAGTATTTGTATGGTTATAAAAGCTTATCATTAAGGATAGAATTATAAGTTTAAGCTAAATTGTTACCAAATTTAGAAAGGGATCATTTTTTTTGGAACAGACCAAAAAAGAAATAGGTTCACATAAACTGAAACAAATGGAGTAATTCTTTTTATCCCGATCTTAAGCGAAAATTATGCGAACTTCTGAATTTAAACTACTTACAGAGTGAAGACTCCGAAACTTAAATAGTGCCCTTTTGGGCAAAAAATACTTTTCTACTATTAAAAAAAAAAATGTTACATAAGTATATAAAATGCATTATAATACTGCGTTTTACTTTAACGGAAAGTTAGCCGTTAAAGTTAAACACAGTACTATACTGCGATTTATTAAAAAAATAATTTTTTTAACGAAAACGCAGTACAATACTGCGTTTCCCTCAAATGCAGTATTGTACTGCGTTTTCCAATTAAAATTGGGCCCACCTTATAACTCTGCCATAAATGCCTATATTCAATTAAAGGAAAACGCAGTACAATACTGCGTTTAAGGGAAACGCAGTATTGTACTGTGTTTTCCTTTAATAAAATATAGGGGCCCTTCTTCTTCCCCAAGACGACGACTCCATTAAAAAAGCTCTCCCTCCTCACTGCTGGTCCCCCCCCCCCTCAAATTAAAAAAAAATTTGGGCCTCACTTGTCACCCAAAAAGCAAAGAGTGTAGGTCCCGCACACAACACAAGCTTTGGATTCCTTCTTTCGGGTTCAAAAATTCGATTTGAATCTATTTCAAAAAACTTAAATCGAGGTATTTCGATTTTGTTTATGTCGAAACTCGTATAGTACATGCATATTTGTATCGTTGAATGTGTTTCCATGTTAATTTGTGTTATGTTTGTGTTTAAATTTGTATCTTATTTATACCCGGATTGATTTATTAGCTTTGGGACAAAAACTAGTTAAAATGTGATAAATAATTTTTATTGTTAATGTTATGTTTTTATTTGCTTAAATAATAAATATTATTTATTTAGTTTGTTGTCCATATGTATGTTATGTTTGTTGTTTTTATATGTAATAGTGGTCTTTTAGCGTAGTAAAATATAGAGCCTTTTAGCGTAGTAAAATATAGAGCGTAGTAAAATATATAGCATTTTAGCGTAGTAAGATGTAGAGCCTTTTAGCGTAGAGTCTCTGTAATTTAAGTATGTAGTAACTGGAACTCATAGATAATTACTCAGTCCAATTCAATAATTAATTATTTAATTTATTAAATTAAAAGAGTTGTAAAAATGCTGAAATTGACACGCATAATAAATAAGGATAACTTGGTGCTACCGGGCCTCAAATATCGAGCCTGTAACCCATACATAATTACTCAGTCCAATTTTAAAAATAATTATTTAATTCCTTAAACTAACAAAATTCTAAAAATATTGAAATTGATACACATAATAATTAAGGATAACTTGGTGCTACCATGCCTCAAATATCGAGTCTCGAACCCATACATAATTATTCAGTCCAATTCAATAATTTTTAATTTAATTCCTTAAACTAACAAAATTCTAAAAATATTAAAATTGACACGCATAATAATTAAGGATAACTTGGTGCTACCAGGCCTCAAATATCGAGCCTGAAACCCATAGATAATTACTCAGTCAAATTTTAAAAATAATTATTTAATTTATTAAACAAACAAAATTCTAAAAATATTGAAATTAATACACATAATAATTAAGGATAACTTGGTGCTACCGGACCTCAAATATCGAGCCTAGAACCCATGGATAATTACTCAGTCCAATTTAAAAATAATTATTTAATTTATTAAACTAACAAAATTCTAAAAATGTTGAAATTGACACGCATAATAATTAAGGATAACTTGGTGCTACCAGGCCTCAAATATCGAGACTGGAACCTATAGATAATTACTCAGTCCAATTTTAAAAATAATTATTTAATTTATTAAACAAACAAAATTCTAAAAATATTGAAATTGACACACATAATAATTAAGGATAACTTGGTACTACCGGACCTCAAATATCGAGCCTGAAACTCACAAATAATTACTAAGTCCAATTTTAAAAATAATTATTTAATTTATTAAACTAAGAAAATTCTAAAAATGTTGAAATTGACACACATATTAACTAAGGATAACTTGGTGCTACCAGGCCTCAAATATAGAGTCTGGAACCCATAGATAATTACTCATTCCAATTTTAAAAATAATTATTTAATTTATTAAATTAACACACACAATGAATTTTCTTTAAATTATAGTAGACGACATGGACTTTTCGCATGCGCATCCTTGACCAGCCGAGGATCAGCTATTAGTGTTGCAGGGCGACCATAGGTCCTCCTTTGTATGGGAGGGACATCTATTAGATCAGCCTCTCTGCGCCAGGAGACCTGACGATTTGTGGGACTTCATGACGCATCATCATTTCCATGCCCGTGTAGTCGCGTGCCTACAGGCTATGGGCTTCTATACGATTTTTCGAATTGGGCGGGTGCAGCTTGATTGGTCTCTCATCACGGCCTTGGTAGAGCGGTGGCGACCGGAGACGCACACTTTTCACTTGCCCACTGGAGAGGCCACCATCACGCTGGAGGATGTTCAGGTTTTGTACTGGCTACGCGTAGATGGACGGGTCGTTGCACTGCCCCAATACATTAGATCCATGACGCGTGGACAGTATTCCGCCACCACCTTCATTTACCCAGGAGGCCACTATTCAGCTGTATACGTCATGGTACCGTTGTCACACCCTACTGATGATCGGGAACCCTGTTCATGTACTTGGCGAGCGCTACAGACCATACGCCGGGAGGCACGAAGCACTGGTATGTTTTTGTGGCTTATTAATATCTTATATTTGTGATATAGCGTTATTTAATTAATATCTTAAGTGTTTCACAAGTTATTGGGCATCACCTGGTCTACCAGTTGGGACAGGAGATGCAGCAACATACCAACAATGCTGCACTCGTTGAGTATGGCCGGCAGGTGGCAGATCTGGCTCGTCGGACCCTGTTCCAAGCGAGAGATAGCACGAGGTTGGATCATGAGGCTCAGTGTGCGGCGCTAGAGGACTACCATCGGGGTAGGGCTATCCCACGAGGCAGGGGTAGGGCACGAGGGAGGGGTGCCCCACGAGGCAGGGGTGCCCCACGGGGTCGCAGGGGACGGCGAGGAGGTGGTCCCTAGCAAGGGGGCATTGAGGCACCTGTCGACCCACCTGTTGAGGGACATGATGAGGATTTTGGAGATGAGGATCTTGGAGATGATCAGCCGGGTTATATACCTCAGGTAGATAAGCCTTCCAGCAGCATGCCGTCGTACAGCCTTCAACTATCTCTGCCAGCATCGCAGGTCACCTCGTCAGGAACATTGTTGATCACGGGTACATTCGACGAGGATATAGACCAGTACTTTGCAGTCCCATCTACCCCAGCTGAGGATCGGCCGACCCGGGACATGGATGGCGGGTGCAGGTTGAGTTATGCCTCAACCCCGGCGGTTGATGCGGATCTACCACAGGCGCAGGTATGTTTGTATTACTGTAAAATTTCAATTTGTTTTCTTTTCCTTAATGAGCTGCCATTAATTAATTTTTAACTTTCTTATGAAGGCTTCATCCCAGCCCATCTTTGAGGCTACTACATGCTTTGCTGAGGACACCACAGATGCATATACTCAGGAGGCCGACGAGAACACGGTAAGAAAATATTTTTTGACTTAACACGTACAATACTAATATACTTTTTCACATGATAAGCTTAGTACTTGTTTTGTAGGTTGCTGACGGCCCGACGGCCTCTTCTACCGATCCTGCCAGCTGTGGTGTCGATGCTGCTGCACATCCTCACATAAAGAGGCGGCTTGGTGATGATGATCCAAATAGTGTACCCGGGCGACAAAGGATGCGACTCAGGCCAGCAGCAGCACTGAAGCACACAGGCTGCGAGACACATTGATTTACGTATGTTTTTACTTTGTGTAAATAATATATTATGTAAATAATGGTAACAATTATGTTTTAGAAATAATTTTATTTTAACTGCATTTGAACAATAATTTTACTTTAACAGTACAACACAAACACAAACCTTGCAAACTTAACACAAAAACAAACAGTAGAGCTAATGAAAACACTTGACAAAGGAAACATAAAGATACACTACACCGCTCAACACGTACATGCCATTGTTTAGTCACTACCACCTAGTATTCTCTGCTCCAACCACTTGAGCTGGTCTTCCAGCTTTTTTTTCTATTCTTCCACCTCCTTGAGCTTTTCCTTCAACTCCGCAATTTCTTGCTTGGATTGGCATTCTCTGTCCCACTGCCTCGTACACACATTATGAAGATGATACAACTTGTCTTTGTAGTATTCCTGCTCACATGGTTCATCAATCCACACCTTAAAATTGCATGTAGGTACGTCGGGTTGCCTATAAAACTTGTTCATACATGCCCAGTAGCGGCGTCCAGCTTCTTCTCAACAATCGTACATCATGCTTTTGGTTCTGCAGTCGTACCTTGGGCAATAAAGGGGTTATTGAGACATTTCTTAAAGAGAAACTTTGGTTTTATGGAAATATTTTTTATAGGTTGTTGTTAAGCACAGAA